GGGTAATTTCGATTAACTTATTAACTTTACCGTTTTTTTAGTTTAATTCATTTTAAATCAAAATCACAAGTATCACTCTCTTTACACGCGTCTAGTACACATTATTTGTATACCTCATCTATGTCAATGGCACATAAGCTCGGTCAATGGTTAGATGAATTTGGAAGATTAGTTTTGAATAAGTAGAGGAGTCTGAATAAAAATCCATAAAGTCTGAGCTAGGACCGGGATATCAAAACGATACAAGTACGAGTGTCTCTGTCACGACCCAAAATCCCACTACAGGCGTCGTGATGGCACCTAGTCTCTAAGACTAGGTAAGCCGATTTCAATTACATTTTTAAAGCCATTTTTTTAAGTAATCAAAACTAACAGCGGAACAAATATAAATATGCAACTTTCCAAGACTGGTAGTACTGAGTCACGAACTCTAACTGAATACATAGAATGATCACGAGGACCGAATATACAATACTATTTGATTACAAGTTAACAGTACAATGAAATAAAAAGACTCCAAGGGACTGCGACGACCAAGCAACTCTACCTTGAATCCTTACGATTCCGCTTTAACTCTGCTCAAGTCCGATATTTTCAATACCTGGCTCTGCACAAAAATATGCAGAAGTGTAGTATGAGTACACCACGGTCGGTACCCAGTACGTATCAAAACTAACCTCAATGGAGTAGAGACGAGGTGCAGTCAAGACACTCACTAGTCTAATAACGTGTGCAATATAATATACAAAATAATAGAAAATAAATAATAATAATAATAATAATAATAATAATAATAATAATAATAATAATAATAATAATAATAATAATAATAATAATAATAATAATAATAATAATAATAAGGGCAGGATAAAATAACCAGTTATATGCACAACAAACAACAAATACCATTAATATCACTCAACAATTAATAAACACAATAACACCCAATTAAATCAAGTCCTTCAAATAAATGTCTTTCACATATAATTCTTCCAGATAACTCTCTTTTAAATATAATTTTCTCAAATAATTATTTTTCAAATATAATTCTTTCAATAAATCTTTTCAAATATAATTTCCTCAAATAAATATCTTTCAAATACAATTCTTTCATATAATACTTTCTAAGTAAAAATCCTTCCAAATAAATATTTTGAATATAATTCTTTCAATTAAAAAGTCACCATGTGACACCTCATTTCATAATCATAAAAATACGGGTCTCGGCCCTTTTTCATATTTTCACGGCACCTCGTGCCCATAATTAAATCATCATATTTCCCCAGCACCTCGTGCCCTCATTTCATATCACAATTGCACGGACAATTCACGTGCCAAATATCCTCATTATTTACTCACGGCACCTCGTGCCCACATTTTATTTTATAATTCACGTGGCCATAGCCACAGACTCTCAATTTCAACATAAATCAGATTGTTATCAATTTACCAACAACAAGACAAATTGCACAATGTATAAAATAAACACAAGAAAAATCACAACATTACATAAAAATCATCAACACCATAAACCCACATCATCATATATCGTCCCTGACAATAGCCACCCTTATCGCTCCGCCCAGACAATATCAATAGCCACCCTTATCGCTCATATTGTCACCCTTATTGCTCCTATAGCCACCCTTATAGCTCCGCCCAGATAATATTCCAACAAACACAACAACAGTGAAATGCCACCCTTATACTCACATAATATCAACGGTAAAATGCCACCCTTATCCCCCCAAAATAACAACTCGCACAACACAACAATTTACATGAAAAATTATCACAGCAATATAACAAAAATTATTTCATATCACAATTTGCCCAATGGCCACAACCAAATTCCAAAGCTACAACCAAGTCAATTAATTTCACAACAAATAGCCAAAAGCTTCACACAATGCGTACAACATCCAAAAACAATCAATAGAGATAGAAATTACTCAACATAAACCAAAGTCTTCATAAAAATTAAATTTTCAATAATTATATAAACACTTCTTCTTAAGCTCATTTAATTAATTGTTTGCAGAAGGAAAAATCCAAAATGAAATTAAATTCCAATAATTATCAACCAGCAAATTCACGAAATTTCATAAATAATCAAATAACAATCGCATCACATTGTCATATAACAACAGAGTCAACAACAAGGATTTAGGCACGACAAGTAGATGATTAAATATATGCCAACAATTATCCAATTTACTACACAATATACTTTAGACTTTAACTCAATAAAAGTTGCACATATAAACCAAGTACGTACTCGTCACCCTCGCGTACATGGTTTTCAATTACACAAATTGTACATAAGACTCAATGCCTAAAGAAAAATTTTTCCACTCGAGGTTAAGCAAGACACTTACCTCTTTGAAGTTATGCCGATATTTCAAAATCGCCTTCTTGCTTGAATTGACCTCCGGACCACTCAAATCTATCCAAATTAATTGTATAACTCCATTAAAATTCGTCAAAAATAATTTCGGATAATAATACGTCGACTTAAAATTTTATTCCAAAAAGTCAACAAAAGTTAACGCGGGGCTCGCCTCTTGGAACCCGACATAATTTTCATGAAATCCGAACACCCATTCCGATACGAGTTCAACCATACCAATTTTATCGAATTCCAACAACAACTCGACTTCCAAATCTTAAATTTTCGTTTATGGAAGATTTTACAAAAATCTTGATTTTTCCTCCATTAAATCTGAATAAAATGATAGATTCAAAGACATAATCATGAAAATTAATCAAAACTGGATAAGAATCGCTTACCCCAAACACCCACGCAAGAATCTCTCCAAAAATCGCCTTCTACCGAGCTCCAAATTTGATTTTGAGTTATGAACTCAAACCCTCATTTTTGAGATTTTTAATTCTGCCCAGATAGGCCTTCTTCGCGTTCGCGACCATAGCTTTGCGTTCGCGAAGCACAAAAAATGTGCTGCCTAGATTCCTTCTTCGCGTTCGTGATATCCTCATCGCGTTCGCGTTTCCTTCCAACCTCTGCCCTTTGTGTTCGCGAGACACGAGTCGCGTTCGCGAAGGCTTAACGCCAAGCAGGCTCCCAACTCCCTTTCCTCTTCGCGTTCGCGTCTGCCCACTTGCATTCGCGTAGGCTTTCCTCATCTCCTTCTTCGCGTTCGCGGCTTTTTCATCGCGTTCGCGATGGGCAAATCCCAGCCGTCCAAAATTCTTCTTCGTGAACGCGTGAGACCCTTCGCGTTCGCGAAGAACAATACGAGATATCAGTTCTAGCAGTTGCAAAACAAGGAGAAATGATCTGAAACCATCCCGGAACTCACCCGAGCCCCCCGGGACCTCAACCAAATATACCATTAAATTTCAAAACATCATACGAACCTGCTCGAAACCTCAAATCACATTAAACAACATCGAAACGACCAATCGCACACCAAATCAAAATCTATGAACTTTAAACTTTCAAATTCTATAATTTGTGCCGAAATACATCAAATAAATCCGGAATGACTTCAAATTTTGCACACAAGTCATAAATGACATAACAGACCTATTCAAATTTCCAGAATCGGATTTCGACCTCGATATCAAAAAGTCAACCCCCCGGTGAAACTTCTCAAAAATTTAACTTTCGGCATTTCACGCTTAATTCCACTACGAACCTCCAAATAATTTTTCAGACACGCTCCTAAGTCCAAAATCACCATACGGAGCTATTGACATCATCAAAATTCCATTCCGGAGTCGTTTTCTCAGAAGTCAACTCTCCGGTCAACTCTTTCCATTTAAGCTTCAAATTAAGGATTATTCTTTTAATTTAATTCCGAATCTTTAGTAAATCAAACTCGACCACACCCGCGGGTTATAATACATATTGCGAAGCTGCTCGAGACCTTAAGTCACTAAACGAGGAGTAAATTCTTAAAACGACAAGTCGGGTCATTACAGTCTCTTAGGCTATTCTGTCTAATTAATACATGCATAAGTTCTTATGCCATCTAGCTATGTGTTATTTTATGTTGGGATAGAAGGTGGATTAAGAATGCGAATATTAGTAATACATGGATTAAATTAAAGAGCCAAATGACAATACTAGCACTCAAAATAGTTTTAAAAAAAAATTGGATTTTCATTGTTCATGTCGCCACATTTGAGCGCGCATGTTTCAATCATGGGACACCACAACCATCTATTAAGATAACATAACGTATTTCAAATACTATTCTCTATATTGATCTATATTATCATGCTCAACGTCAATTAATGCTATAAAATAGAAGATCAACTAATTATCTAATTTCTTATGACAATTATGATACAATTTTCCAAGTTGCAATATCCATGTCGAAATATATTCCTAAACTGCATTTGTTTTTACAGCTTAAACTCAGGCAGCACAAAGTACGTAGCTATATATATACTACAATATAAGATGCCATAAATACTAGCTAACCAGTGAACATTATTAGAGGCGGATTCATGATTCGAAATTTATAGATCATCGATCTCAAATTAATACTACAATAATAACTAGGTACACAGTCAAATACAACCCTCAAGGTCCGCCACCGAAAAATCATTGGAGTTATATCATAAAGTTTCCATAACCCAAAATTTATTCTCTCTTGGTTGATGACCTTTTGTTCCCAACTGCAAGAAAGTAGTAGCAGTAGTCAAATGTAAAGAAGCATTAAGAATTGCTTAAATGGAGAAAATTTTTAATACATATTTAACAACCTTTTCGGCATCAAATATTATTTAAGTATTTGCAGATACTGGTTCGGCTACCAGTATATACAAATATTGAACTTCAGTTATTGAAATTCAGTAAAATTCTGAAATTTATTTTGAGGAGTATTTCAAGTGAAACAATGATTTCCGATTAAATCTTCAAATTTAACAAATTTTTCCCAAGTAAATTTCAAGCCGAATACAATTTCACCAGCCAAAAACTCTTTTTTAATTTCAACTTCAAATACTCTATTTGTAACTTCAACCGAATATTATACAAACACTTACTAAGAAATCAATTGAAAGGAATAGCCATATTTGTATCATAAGTTGGAGTGCTGAAATTGCACTGAAAATCATCCAAATTCCACAAGACATCCCAAATGATGTCTTCATTTGATGAGGATTCTAGCACAGGCACAGGAGTATAGTCATTGAGAATGGAATAAAAGAAGTCATCATCTTGCTCTTGATCAGCTGTGTTTGGATACGAAATTTCCATTTCTTGGTTCCCTTGAGGCAAAGTAGGTACTTTATTCACATTTTCATTAAGTAATGACACGATCCTGTTTCCTAACTTATTTAGGATTGAGGCGTAATAGTTCTTGTTGTTGTTGTTGTATGATACGACCTTATTCGTATCATTGTCTGTGTTACATTGCTGTTGTTGTTGTTCTTGTAATTGTTGTCTTTTCAGAAGACGCGCCTTTGATATTTCAGATTTGTTGTTCGAAGTTTTGGTCTTTTTCTTGAAATGAGTCCTCCAATAGTTCTTGATCTCATTATCAGTTCTCCCTGGCAAGTTTTTCGCAATAGTTGCCCACCTGTATTTATTTTTTATCAAGTTATTACTGAAGATTATGGTTAAGAAACATTAAAAAAAAATTAACTTTCAAAAATATCCAATAACTTTAAGAAAAATCACCTGTTCCCCCATCTAGCATGGAGCTCTAGAATGAGTTTTTCTTCATGAGAAGTAATTTGTCCCTTTTTAAGGTCTGGCCTTAAGTAATTCACCCATCTCAACCTACAACTCTTTGCATTCCTTTTCAACCCTGCAAGTACCAAATACCCAAATATAAATATCAGCATACAACAATTACATCTCAATTCTAAGCAATTAAGTTGGCGTTCGTACTGAGTTAGTTCAGCAATACAAATTCGTACTGATCGATCATGTTGCTATATTTAAAGCCGTTTAGGTAACGTTAAAGTTGTCTTCCGTGTGACATAGGTTACGAGTTCAAACCGTGGAAGTACCATCTAATACTTGCATTAGGGTAGGCTGTCTATATGGAGATGCGGCCCTACCCCGGACCCTACGTAAATGCGGGATATCCTTTATCAGTGCAACACTTGAACCTAAAATTAGAAAGAAAAAAAGACCCTAAAATTAGTTTTTGTTCATTGAAGTGATGAAAAAATAGTTGAAATTTATACTAGTAACATAATAGAATATAGGATTCCTCCGCCGTTAGCCAGAGATTTCGAGTTCGAAATCTAAATATGAATAAAAAAATTCTAAAACATAATATTGTGTGTAGTATTTATTTTTTTACCTGCAACAGTAGCAACAGAACTCCATCTGCCTTCACCATGCAACTTAACATATTCAAAGAGCAATCTGTTTTCTTCAGCAGTCCAAGGTCCCTTTCTCCATCCTTCTTTTGTCATTCCCCAACTGCATATTTCTTTACTCATCTTAAATTCTTTTGAAAACCTAACTAAAGATGAGCTTAAAGTGTAATATAATCTCACTAATCTGATAAGTGTTTGTGACACAATCTTCAAAGTCTTTGTTGCTTATTTATATTTGCACCCCATGCCCCCTCTCACTTCATTCCATCAGTCAAAACTTTTATGTCCTTTCATATTACTACAAATCTAAACGTGAGCAATTGACTAGTGAAATACCCGAAATGTCCCTTATGTATTTTATATACTTTGTTTCCTTAAAGTTAAATAATTGTGTGAATGTTTTTCAACCATTATTAACTTTGGTGAAAATAAAATAAAGGGTTAAGAATATATACTCGATGGATATTTTTAGGAACAAAAATGATTACCAAGTGAGCCCATCCAAAATAGGAACAGTAAATTTCATGGATAAAAGCGACGTATATAACTAGGGTTCTTGCATCTAGACAATAACAACTTTAAAAAAAAGCCTCTAGAAAGAACTCTCACTAATCTTTATGGAAATTAAGAACTTAAGTAATAAATTAACAGCTTGTTTGGATCGTTGTTACCCATTGTATCGTATTGTATTATTTTTCCAAAACAATGTTTGTTTTGATTGTTTAGTTAAAATTGGTTGTATTGTATTGTTAAATCCATTGTTCCGGAACAATGAAAAGTCATTTTTTGAAACAACCGATCTGGTGTGGTAGGATCGTTTCCTATTTTTCTTTCTAATTATACCCTAACTTATTACTTTATAATTCTATTTTAGCCTTTACCTTTTTTTATTTTAAATAATAGCAAAGTTTCTTTCTCATATAATTTTATAATAGAATTCTACGTGAAGTCAAATAACTTATATAAATTCTCAAAGACAGTATCCCAAATATAAGCTATATACGTAAAGTCTAATAACGTGAAAATCTCGTTGCTTCTGTCGCTTCCAAACTCTTCATGTATAGGTTTTCCCTAACTTTTGTTTTATTCTTTCTTCTACTTTGATTTGTAATTCCAATTCTAATTACTTTATCTCCAATTAGCTTTATGATATTGGTTGTTATCAAATATTACTTATGATCTAATTATGAACATAGTATACTTATTATTATTTTTAATATTATTAACTTATTCCACTAATTTTGATAGAATTTGTAAGAATTTAATTGCTTAACATAATATAAGATATAATTGGTGATAAATTAGTAGAAAGTAGTTTTCTTAAATAATTTTTATGTGTAATTCTTGATAAATTAAATATTTAAAACAATTGAGGGTATTTTAGTAAACTTATCAGTTACTGTACAGTGCGATACAGTCAAACCAAACAACAAAATTTTATTTAACAACAATAAACAATACAGTTTATCCAAACATTATATTCATAAAACGATACGATATCATACAATACAATACAATACGATACGATATATTATAAAACGATGTGTAACAATTATCCAAACATAGCGTAAGTGGGTGGCTAATTGTTTAATCTAAAGTTCCAATAAGAAAGAACCAGGTGTTGGATTTGGTTACTTAATTAAGGCTAAAGGTGCACGGGAATCATCATTACGTGTTTATTAACTATGATTAACAATAACAATTTGCTGGATGCCATTTTGGGTATTGAGGCAATCTGAAAACATCATGTTTTTTAATTAAAAACTAATGGGGTAAGCATGCTTTGTCTTCAAAACGACGTCAGCAATGGGCAATCTGAAAACATTTGTTAGATCCTTGATCTATATACTTTTTGTTAGATTCCTTGTTTTTTGTCATTATATAAGAAGATATTTAATTAGATATACTTCTTTTTGTTCCAATTTATGTGAGGTGGCTCGTAGTATGAGAGGCCAATAATTGATTTTCATTGAGAATACAAGGACACATTTTTTATATTTTTTAAGATAAAATTTAAGTATTTACAGATTACATTAAAAAATACTACAATTCAACATAATTAATGATTTAAGATATTTTAAAATTATTGCTAAAGAAAAAATTACTTCACTCTCCAAATAATAATATCCTGAGATAAATAAAAATAGTACAATTTTTTTAAAGAAAGAGAGAGAACTTTTGATACAAAAGTATATGTAACATACCAAAAACACATCACCTATAAGTGAATGTCGTTTAAGAATAAAGTGAAATTTTAAAACTAAATAAATTTCAAATATGAAAGGTTCTGCTCTTTGTGAAATATATGGACGAAAACTACGTGAAATAATAAAAGTTGGAGTCAAGTAGTTACGTATCCATTTTAACCCCCAATTTTGTGTAAATACCAACTGATTCCTCCTCCACTTTAGCCTATAGAGGAGGTTGATTGTCACGACCCAATTTTCCCACTGTATGACATCGTGACGGCACCTAGTCTCTATGACTAGCTAAGCCTAACATTTTCGGAATAATGAAATGAAAACATGAATTAAACAATTAACTGTTCAAAATACACAGTAATCCCAAAAACCGGAACATCGTAAGTCACAAGCTACAGAAGGAAACTAGTATCTCTATACACCATAGTCTAATAACATAAGTAAGGAAGGTAAATGACATAGGAGGGAGTAGAGGGGGACTCTGAGGTCTACGGACGCGACAGATATACCTTGAAGTCTCCGTACAACAGCAAGCACTCTCAGCTAGTAGCGAGACTGATAAGAAGTACCTGGATCTGCACACAAAACATGTGCAGAATAGTAACATGAGTACACCACAATCGGTACCCAATAAGTGCCAAGCCTAACCTCGGTAGAGTAGTGACGAGGTCAGGTCCGGGCCCTACTGGAATATGATAATAAAGCAAGGCAAAAATAAAATATCGCAGTAAAATAAAGACTGAAATTTAACAAGAAAGAATTTATAGAAGGTAACAACTCAATACACAGAAAATATAACAAGGGATCTCCCGAGATACAGTCTCGTAGTCCCAAACGTAAATGTGCAGGGAGATCTTCCGAAACACCGTTCCGTAGTCCCAAAGTAAATATGCAAGAAAGGGGATCTCCCAGAATACCGTTCTGTAGTCCCAAAGTAAATATGCAGTACATGGGGATCTCCCGGAATACCGTTCCGTAGTCCCAAAGTAAATATGCAGTACATGGGGATCTCCCGAAATACCGCCAGTAGAGGGGGATCTCCCGAAATACCGTTCCGTAGTTCCAGAGTAAATATGCAGCGCAACAATAGAAATACAACTACATCACAAAGTCTCACGATTTAGACTAAGTAACAGTCAAGGAAGAAGCAGGAAATTCACTAAGCATGTTGCACAGAGTTCACATAAGCAATTAAGACATGTAGACATGTTGTATTAGACGAAATATGATAGCTACACATATTGGAATAACTCAGTTAAGAATGAAAATAGATTAATACTCATTAAAATGGTATAACTCAAGATAAAAGGAAAACAGGTTGTTGCTCAGTAAGAAAATCGGGATTTTCCACAACTAGCTCGTGTACGTACTCGTCACCTCACGTACACGGCGCTCACATATCATAATAGTTCCAAATCTTAAGGGGATTTTCCCCACACAAAGTTAGGCAAGCCACTTACCTCGAACAAAGCTCAATCAATCGGTCACAATGCCTTTCCCACGAATGTCCGGCTCTGAATGGCCCAAATCTAACCAACAACAATTACATATCATAAATACAACCATAATAGACTCGTCTAATTAATGAAATGATCACTTTACCAAAAATTCCGAAATTAACTCAAAAATCGCCCGTGGGACCCACGTCTCAGAATCGGATAAAGTCATAAAATACGAACACCCATTCACTCACGAGTCTAACCATATAAAAATTACTCAAATCCGACCACAAATCCCCTTTCAAAACTCGAAATCTTTGTTGAATAAGTTCTTCCATTTTTCTCCCAATTTCAACCCCAAAATCCGAAATTAAAAAAGAAATTAACGATAGATTAGTGGAATATAACTAAAATAGAGTGTAGAATCATTACCCAATCGATATCTCTGAAACTCCCTCAAAATCTCGTCAAAATCCGAGCTCCCAACTCAAGTTTTTGATAAAATGGCAAAACCCCCTTTTTTGAAATGTTTAAGCACTGCCCAGTGATTCCTTAATCGCGATCGCGAAGAACAACTTCGCTATCTCAGAAATTTACTCCACGCGAACGCGTAACACCTCACGCGAACGCGATGCATTAGCTGCTAACACCTACCCGATCGCAATTGTTCTCACGCAACCACGAAGAGTAACACTCAAACTCCACTGCTGCCTCACTTCTTCTTTGCGAACGCGGCCTAGCCCACGCGTTCGCGGTGCACTGCCTGATAACCTTACGCGATCGCGTCTTCATCTTCGTAAATGCGAAGAGAAATCTTAGCTGACCTCTCAGATGACCTACGCGATCGCGAGATCTCCCTCGCGAACGCGATGAAGAAAAATATCTGCAATAACACCAGAAAATCTGCCAACTCCCTAAGTCCAAAAATGACCCGTTGAGCATCCAAAATACACCCTAGGCCCTCGGGACCTCAACCAAACATACCAACAAGTCCTAAAATACCATACGAACTTAGTCAAGCCATTAAACCACATCAAACAACGCTAAAATCACAAATCATCCTCTCATTCAAACTTAAAGAACTTGAAACTTCTAAATTCGACAATCGATGCCAAAACCAGCCAAACCACATCCTATTGACCCCAAATTTTGCACACAAGTTATATTCAACATTACGGACCTACTCCAACTTTCAGAATCGGAATCCAACCCCGATATCAAAAATTTCATTACCGGCCCAAAACTTCAAAAATTCGACTTTCGCCATTTCAAGCCTAAATGAGCTACGGACCTCTAAAACATAATCCGGACACGCCCCTAAACCCAAAATTACCTAACGGAGCTAACGGAACCGACAAAATTCCATTCTGGAGTCGTCTTCATACAGTTCCAACTACGGTTCAAATCCTAAGGCTTAAACCTCCGTTTAGGGACTAAGTGTCCCAAAACACTCCGAAATCAAAACAAAACCTTCCGACAAGTAACAATAGCAGAAATAGATATGGGAGAAGCAGTAAATAGGGGATCG